TAGTGAAACAGTATGTATTTAGTATATTATAATTCGAAACATTGAGAATTTAAACTCTTTTATTTCTTTGTAAAAACTTATCAAGAGCACAGTGCTTAACTCTGTTTTGTTGCATAACTTAATACAGAGCAGGGCACCTTTTCTATGCCTTGGCAAAGTGTCTCACTCCTTTCTAAGTTTGGATGTATTTCCAACATTTTTGTCCTTTGTGCTTTCAAATTTGGAACATATATATATATATATATATATATATACTTATTTTGGTATCATTAATCTACAATTACATGAGCAACATTATGTTTACTAGACTCCCCCCATCACCAAGACCCTCCACATACCCCATTACAGTCACTATCCATCAGCATAGTAAGATGCTATAGAATCACTACTTGTCTTGTCTGTGTTGTACAGCCCTCCCCGGTGCCCTCCCCCCACATTATGTCTGCTAACAGTAATGCCCCTTTTCCCCCCTTATCTCTCCCTTCCCACCCATCCTCCCCAGTCCCTTTCCCTTTGGTAACTGTTAGTCCATTCTCGGGTCCTGTGAGTCTGCTGCTGTCTTGTTCTTTCAGTTTTTTTCTTTGTTCTTATACTCCACAGATGAGTGAAATCATTTGATACTTGTCTTTTTCCGCCAGGCTTATTTCACTGAGCATAATACCCTCTAGTTCCATCCATGTTATTGCAAACGGTAGGATTTGTTTTCTTCTTATGGCTCAATAATATTCCATTGTGTATATGTATCACATCTTCTTTATCCATTCATCTACTGATGGACACTTAGGTTGCTTCCATTTCTTGGCTATTGTAAATAGTGATGTGATAAACACAGGGGCGCATATGTCTTTTTCAATCTGGGCTGCTGCATTCTTAGGGTAAATTCCTAGGAGTGGAATTCCTGGTTCAAATGGTATTTCTATTTTGAGGTTTTTGAGGAACCTCCATACTGTAGAAAATATTTTTGGTGGTTCAATCAATGTGTAGTGTTTTGGTAGCATCATTTGCTCTGGGACATCATCATTCTTTTCATCATAATCACTTTATTTATGTCCACAAGTTAGTCTTCACTAAGTTCCTCTGGCTGCACTTCTAGAGCCTCTCAAACAGCAATGGTGTATCCCATTCCCATGGTCTGCTATTTATTCTGTGATTACAGTTTGGTTCAATTTCTTCCAGTATTATCACTTTTAATTTTTTTAAATTCTTGGTTGAATTCTCCAGTGAAACTATCTGTGCCTGGAGGTATTTTTAGGGAGTGATTTTAGTTACAAATTCAAATTCATTAATAGTTATGGGGCTATTCAAATGATCTATTTCACAATGGGTGAGTTGTGCTAATTTGTTTAGGTAACCCTTAGGAATGCCGGAGAAAGAAAACAGAGAGAACACACACACACACTCAAAGAAAAAGGCAGATTAAAGTCCTAACATATCAACAATTACATTAGAGTGGATTATAAAATGGTCCAAGTACATGCTACATATAAAAGAAAACCATTTAAAAGTATAAGTATGGAAGTTAAGTCAAAAGTAAAATAAGAAAAAGATATATAATGCAAACCTTATTCAAAAAGCAGGAGTAACTATATTAATAACAGATTAAGTAGACTGCATAGCAAAGGAAATTACTAGAGATGGAGAAACATTATATAATGATAAAAGGATCAATCTACCAAAAAAAACCAGAACAATCACAAATTTATGTACACCAAACAACAGTGCTGCAAAATATGTAAAATAAAAATGGACTGAACTGAAAGGAGAAATAAACTCCCCAATTATAGTTGGAGACTTCAACCTTTCTTAGTAACTGACAGAACAGACAGAAAATCATCAAGAGATAAAACTCAATACCATCAATTAACAGGATTGAATTGATATTTATAGAACAAACACTTCACCTAACAGCAACAGCATACATATTGTTTCAAGCACCCATAGAACATGTACAATGACAGACAATATCCTGGGCCATAAAAGAAACCTCAATAAATTTGAACAAATTGGAATTATACAGAGTGTGGTCTTTACAATGGAATCAAAGCTAGAAAGACAGTAACAGAAAGATAAAAAAATATTCAAATACTTGGAAACTAAAAATCATATTTCTAAATTAAAGAAGTCCCAAGGGGAAAAAAAGAAGATGAAATAAATCATCTCAAGGGAAAAAAACATTAAAGTGAATGAAAATGAGAATAAAGTACATCAAAATTTGTGGGACACAGCTAAAGCAATGTTGAGAGGGACATTTATAATACTAAATGCTTACACTGGAAAAGAGGTAAAGTCAAAACAATAAGCTAAGCTACCAACTCAAGAAACTAGAAAAAGAAGAGTGAAGTAAACCCAAAGCAAGCAGAAGAATTGAAACAATAGAGATAAGTATAGAAATAAATGTAATTTAAAACAGAAAAAATAATGAAACAAAAAGATGGTTGTATGAAATGGTCAATAAAATTGACCAAGTTGTAACAACAGAGGAGATTAAAAATTGCCAATATCAGGAGTGAAAGGGGGGATATATACTATTGCTTCATTTACTTCAAGTGGGTTCATAATTGTTCACTGAAACATTTTTATGATGGCCGTTTTAAAATTTTTTTTACACAATTCTAGTCTATCTGTCTGTCATCTTGGTACTAGCATATATTGCTTGTTTTTCACCAGGTTGAGATCCTTTTGGTTCTTGATATGATTGGGTATATTTGGGGTATTATGCTGTAAGACTCTAGATCTTCTTTAAGCCTTCTGTTTGGCTGCTTCCTTTGGCACTGTTCTGGCTGGAGATTGGGGTGGGTGGGGAAGGGATATCACCTTAGTACTACCAGGTGGTTTTTCAAGTTCTGGTTCACCATTTGGCCTCTGTTGACATCCATGGGTGGATGTTAGTGCTGAGTGAGGCTGGCCTTAATACTGCTTCCTATGTGGCCTCCATTGACACCACCAAGGGGAGGAGGTGTCCTCATTACTGTTGGGCAGTGGTAAAAGCCCTGACTTTCTACTAGGTCTCCTCTGACACCACCCTAGATGGGAAGAGGGATGCATCATTACTGCCAGGTTGAGGTAGAGGTCTAGGTTCCTCACTGTGACTGCTATGGTATATAAAAATACTGACAGTAAGGACTTGAAAATGTGACTCTTGTGTTCATTCATGATGTTGCTCTTATTTTCAGAAGGCAGGAGATGGTGTCAATGATGATGAGCCAATGAGGCTCAGGATGTATGTTGGGCAAGACTGTGGAACTTTCCTTAACAGAACACAGACAGTCTCTCTGTGGGTGGAAAAGCCTGAGCTTGGGTTTCTAGAACTGATTTGACAAGCATTTCTGGAACGTGAGTAGGACCTAAGATTCTGGTTGGGGAAGAGAATTCAAGGATGTGACCTTTGTCCTTTAAGTACCTAGTATGTACTAGAAATAGACAGATTTACAATGAGTTGTAAAATTTCTCATAGTAAGCAGCAGGTCCCACCAGCCCCTTTATCTGGTGCTATTCCCTCCCTTCCTTCCTCCCTCCCTCCCCTTCTCCCTTCATTCAACTTATGCCAAGGTTTTTTTTTTTTTTTGAGAGGGCATCTCTCATATTTATTGATCAAATGGTTGTTAACAACAATAAAATTCTGTATAGGGGACTCAATGCACAATCATTAATCAACCCCAAGCCTAATTCTCAACAGTCTCGGATCTTCTGAAGCATAACGAACAAGTTCTTACATGGTGAACGGTGCAAGGGCAGTCATATCACAGAAACTTTCAGTTTTGATCATACATCATGAACTATAAATAATCAAGTCAGATATGATTATTCGTTTGATTTTTATACTTGATTTATATGTGAATCCCACATTTCCCCCTTATTATTATTATTATTATTATTTTTAATAAAATGCTGAAGTGGTAGGTAGATGCAAGATAAAGGTAGAAAACATAATTTAGTGCTGTAAGAGGGCAAATGTAGATGATCAGGTCTGTGCCTATAGACTAAGTATTAATCCAAGCTAGACAAGGGCAACAAAACATCTACGGATGCAGAAGATTTCTCTCAAAACAGGGGGGTGAAGTTCTAAGCCTCACCTCTGTTGATTCCCAATTTCTCACCTGATGGCCCCCCTGAGACTGTGCCTGTCTTAGGTTGTTCCTCCCTTGAGGAATCTTACCTGTCTCTGGCTAACCAGTCATCTTCCGGGGCCATACAGGGAAATGTAAAGTTGGTAAGTGAGAGAGAAGCCATATTGTTTGAAAAGGTTAGCTTTTTACTTCTTTGCAGATTTATGCCCTGTGTTATTCCCAGCTTTTTATTTCATGCTAGCCTTTGGGCAAAAAGCACTGGCAACACAAAGACCACTAAGAAAAAATGGCTTCTAAACTAGTCATTACTCTTAAGGAGCTTAATTTACTACTTCCTCTGACAGAAAAGTCCTCTCTCCTTTCCACAAAACCGAAGTCCTCTCCTACTTAAACTTTCTTCTCAAGACTTTGCAAGTGATCGTTATATGTTTACAGTCAGCCCAATTATTCCAGTTATCCCCTTTCATTTGGGTCCATACATTTTACATATTCTATGTTTTTGGCCATTTATAGATGTTATTACTATGAGGACCCTATTATAATGATGCAATTTCTCATGGAGTTACGTATTAATAGAATTATTAGGGGGTTATATAATTAATGCTTTTCAAAGATTAGTAAAATGCTACTATTGTTGAGCCAGACATGGAAATCCTGGTCTCTAAAACCTTATCGTAATTTCAGATTGGACTTCAAACAGTTTTATGCTATGAATGGGTTTATATTACATCCCTAACTAAATGAGCTTGACTTTTAACTACTGACCTGTCCTAGCCTGGTATAAATGCTACTGGTCTGAATGAATCAGTGAACATGGTATGGTATGTGACTTTCTATTATAAATGTATAATTAGTCACTCAAAATCTCTCCACAAGCAGCACACAGATAACATGAGAGTATTCATTTCCCAAGTCAATGGTACAAAGAAATACCTGATGGAAGGCTGTGGAATAGCATCTGGACTGCCTGGTACCTGGACTCCCTTTTCCCATTCTTCCTTCCATGTATCCGAGAAGAGGTAATAGCTGTCAGGATTAATATGATGAGAATCTGGAATTTTCATGGCACTGATGAGGTCCTTTCGGAATACCTGGGAAGACATTGCACACACCTTGAGAAGCATCACTATTGGACTAATACCATTTAATGTTCTCCTTTTAAAAAGACTTCAATGCTTCAACTGGAGAGACCTCTCTAACTTCCTAAATGGTCAGATCAACTTCTATTTGAAAAGGGTTTGAAGTATTGACAGGGAAACCAATGTTGGCTTTAATAAAGATGAAAGGGGCTCTTTCTGAATTATTTTCTAGGGCTCATTGAATTTAAATCAACAATACAGGTTGTTCTAAAACAGTTTGTATAAAACAAACAATCCTTAACTCTCTCAAATTAAGCAGCAAGTACCCATTTATCTGCAAGTTATCCTGGTAACTTAAAATTGTTTATTTACCCTTCACCTTATTTTCTAATTCTTTACTTAGAAATTATTTTAGACTTATAGAAAAGTTATAAAAACAGTGAGTTCCCATACATGCTTCACATAGTTTCTTCTAATGTTAACATCTTACAAGACCAAAGCACAATTACCTAACCAAGAAGTTAATGTTGCTACAATACTATAAAATAATCTATAGACCTTATTCAAATGTTAGTAATTTCCCCCCTAATGTCTTGATGTTCCAGAATTAAATTCAGGATCCCACACTGTAACTGTCATATCTCCTTGGTATCCTCCAAACTGTGACAGTTCCTCAGTCTTTCCTTGTCTTTCAAGACTGACACTAGAGTACTAGTCGTGTATTTTATAGAAAATACTTACAATTTGTGTTTGTATGATGCTTTCTCATGATTAGATTGAAGTTACTCATTTTTTGGCCAAGATCAGCATAGAAATGATGCTGTGCCCTTCTCAGTCCATTATATCAGGGATGTATGATATCAATGTCTTACCAAGTGGTGATATTAAACTTGATCACTTGGTTAAGGTAGTGTTTTACTGGTTTTCTATACTGTTATGTTACTGCATTTCCCTTTGTAATTAATAACTAGCTGAGGAGATACTTTGAGATTATAAAAACATCCTGTTTCTCCTCAAACTGTCATGGACTATTTTTAGCATCCATTAATGGATATCTTGCCTGCAACAATTATTACTGTAGTGTCCTAGTGGTGATTTTGTTTCCCCTGGTCCTTCTACATTTATTAATTGGAATTCCTTTCTAAGAAAGATTTGTCCCTTCTCCCAACTTATTTATTAACATCATTATAGACTGGTGGATATCTTTTATTCTTTGGGTTATAATGTAGTGTTTTTGTCACTTATTTTTTGCTCAAATTGTTCCATCTTTGGTCATGGGGAGCTCTTTCAAGTTGGGCTGGTACCTGTAACTCTTCTGACATATCCCATCCTTTCTTGACTATTTCTTTAATTTCCTACATTACAACATGCCCCAGGCATCAAAGCTACTGACTTTATAGGTTAACTTTATATCCTGCTACCTTACTGAATTCTTTTTTCTTTTTGCATGAGTTAATTTTCAGTGATTTTCCTATTGGTTTACAGATATACTATCATCTACAAATAGTTTTTGCATGTTTTTTTTACCTAGTCTTATGTCTCTAATTGGTTTCTCTTGTTTAATTGTATTGGGTTGGTTAATACTGCTACCATTTGGAATGATAAAGAGACAGTGGGCTTCTTTGCTTTCTTCCTGAAATTAGTGGAAATGCCTTTAGTTTCCCCATTAACTAAGGCACTATATTGATATGGTACATATATTTTATAATGTTAAGAAAGTATCTTACAATTCCTATTTTCTTGAATGTCTTATAATGTCTGGGTATTGATATTGCTGTCAAAATCTTTTTCAGAATATATGGAAATGATTATATAACTTTTTCCTTAGATATGTTAATATGCTATAGGTAATACTGGATTTTTTAATCCTGAAACAGACTTTGTATTTCTGGAATGAATGTCATTTGGTCAAGATATATTATTTTCTTAATATGGTATTATATTCTGTTTTCTAACATTTTACTTAATATTTCTATATATCACATTCACAAGTGGTATTTACTTGTAATTTCCTTTTTTTGTGTTGTCTTTCAAGTTTAGGTATTGGTGTTATGCATGCTTCATAAAAGGAATTAGGTCATTTTCTTTCCATTACAATGCTCTAGAATAATCTGAGAATTATTAGGACTATCTGGTCCCTATGAAACCATCTGGACTTGGTGCTTTTTTAATGGTGTAGTACCTTAATAATTTTCTCTATTTCTTCTTTGGAAATTGATTCTTTAAGCTTTCTACCTCTAATAGGGTCAATTTTGATAATCTATTATTTCCAAAGGAAGTTACCTATCTCATCCAGGTTTTCAAATTTATTTGTACAGGGGTTTGCAAGTATAGGAGTTCCACTTTGCACAGAAGTTTGGGACCATAAAAATGAAGGTGAGTGTGTAAACTGTGGGAAATTATCTTAATAATTAATGGGAAAAATTATGATTTTTCTATGACCTTTACATATTTTTGTCAAAATATTAGAAACTTCCTTACCATTGGCTATAAATATATAGAGAAATGAGAAACAACAGAATATTTATTTAGTACACTGCAATTAAATATTAGCAACATTGAGAGCTAAATTTTTTTTTGTAAAAAAAGTTATCAATAGTAGTTGGAACAATGCTTGCCTCCTTTTTCTCATAACTTAAGATATGGGGCAAGTACCTGAGATGCAATGTTTTATCATCACTATTTTTTAAGAAATCTATAATTTCAGTTTGTATTTCTCCTTTTTACCCAAGAGTTACTTAATAAAAGGTTTTAAAATTTCCATAGGAAGGACCTTTCTGTTTTTGTTAGTAATTTCAGATTTTAGTGCATGGTAGTCACAGTGTTGTTTATAATCATTCTACTTGGTGGAAATTACTGATGTTTTCTTTGTGACTTAATAGCTGATATTTTGTGTACATACCACAGACAATTGAGAAGGTATATTCTCTACAGAATATAGAGCTTGATATATATTCATTAGATATGTACCTCACTGTTTAAGTTGTTTAGATCTTCTATCTTCTCATTTATTGATTTGTTTACTTTATCTGTCTGATACTGAGAAGTGTTAGAAAGTTTCCTATGATTAGTATTTCTAGCTATGTCTCCTTGCAACTCTTGTAGTTTTTGCTTCATAAAGGTGGTCACCATGTTATTCAGTGTATGAATATTCATAGGCATTACATTTTCATAGTGAAGTGTAGCTTTTAGCACTAAAAAATCTTGTTCTTTATTTTGGGGTCTAGAGTTCTACTTTGATATCAGGATCACTACTCTTGCTGTTTCTGTTTCCATTTTTCTGGTATACCTTTTTCCATCTCTTTAGCCTGTCTGATGGGTTTTAGGTATACTCTTCTATACAGCACACAGTTGGTTTTGGCCTTGTGAGTCAAACAACTCTTTTTTGTAATAGATGTTAAACCCATCCATATTTATTGGTATGACTCATATATTTGGTCTCAACTGTCATATTTTATAATTATGTGTATTGTATTTCCTATGCTTCTTTCATTCTCTACCAGATGTGTATTCTTTGCTCTTTTAATTATACTTTTTTATCTGTTTGTAGTTTTATTCTAGTTGTTATCTTTGTACTTAGATTTTTAAAAATGTCCTTCGTCTTATTTTCTTTTTAAATCTTTCACTATCTGGTTTATCAGTTTTTATCACTCTCAGTGAACTCCTCAGGGTAAGAATATGAAGGATATGGCTATTGTGGCAACCAAGATGCTCTCAGGATGAGTCAATCCTACCCCTGGCAAGGAAGCCCTAGCTGTGTGGCAAGTTCAAAGGCCAGAGGTAGGGGATGATGATAGAGGTACACCTACAACTTGGACTTGTGGAAGCAGAGAGATTTCCCATAGTCTATTTTCTGTACCCTAAGCACAGTCTAGTACTGAAAATATGGGAACAGGGATCAATCTAAAGTTTGATACACTGTTATCCCCTGGTTGAAAAAGGGGCACAGAAATGTGCTCACCAGCTTGCAAACATGACTTAAATGGCTATGGCAGCTTAAGCTTTGTGATTCTGCCCTTTCAACAACAGAAAATAGTATACCATGAGTTCTTAAGCTAACTTGGCAATGATTTCAGTGATGAAGGTCCTGTTAATGTTTAAGCAATGAGGGATTATACTTTCAGATAAAAGCTTACATACACTGGTCTACACTGCACCTACTAATTTCTCATTCTGAAAAAGAAAATCAACCAACCACTTGCAGGTTGAAGATAAATGTGTCTGTGTATCTGCAATATCAAAGGAAGAGATGCTATCAACCAAACATTTTAGCCTTTAACACTAATAAAGGTTCTTTGAAGAGAAACACTGTCTAAGTTATGTGTAACATGAAATTAGAGGCTCAGAGCATGATCCAATAAAGCAATTAATTCTTAGTTGGTGCATTTCTGTTTTAACTGACATTTCACAGAATATGGGACAACCATCACATAAACAAATGATGCCATTTAAATGAATAATGACTCATTCTATTTGTTACTTTGCAGGGACAACTCTGCAAATGCTTACTGGTTTCATTTAGGGAAGATTTAGAATTACTAATATGACCTGAGAAAAGTAGAGAAGGAAACCAATTTTAAACATGCTGGTGGCCAGGTGGCAAACAAAATGACCTTCCTACCAAGAATCCTAGCCCATTAAAGTTAACTGGGTGCTGGGCAGGGAGAAAGCTAAGTCTACAGGAAACAAAAACTGGTGGTTTATTACATAATGCTTTATTATAAGGCAGTAAAAGAGGTTTACAGACATATCCACTTAACATGTTTTGCAAAGAGCTCAGTATTCTGGGTGGCTAGCAGGAGAAACGAAATCATCATTTTGCTGAATACTCTGATCCATTTCTATAAATTACTAGAGTACCTTTAATGAGAAAGTGGTTAAGTGGTGGTGGCAATTTACAACTGTGCTAAACTATTGTCTTTGGGAAACACAGTGCTGTGAGAAATCCTACTTTACATCTGTAGAGAATACTACAGCCAAGTATTTTTCAACATCCTAAAATATTTCATTAT